GCAGGCAATGACTGAGACAGTCTTGCTACAAATAATGTCACTGAGCATTAGGTCATGTGATTAATTATTTATAAAGACGTTTGATTCAAACACAAACAAATAAAAATTAAAACAAAAATTAAAACAGCGATAGGCATGTTTATAACTTTTGTGGTGTTGAAATAATTTATCAGGGATTTCGTTCAGGCAATAAACTATTTGGGGGTTCACAACAAATCATCAAAAATTACCAATCATCAAATCGCCAAAATAATGGAGTTGTGGGTTTAAAATGTCTTAGTCGTCAACACACCCTGTCCTCCATTTCACACGCTGTAATGCATTCTATGTTCACATCAATTCTTTTTTATGGTAGAATGCTACTCATCAGTTTGTGCAAATTTTTTAGCACATAAAGCAGTGATAATATTTCATGGCAAAATCTGTCTACAGTTCACTGTCTACATTTTCACTTTAATATATTAGTCAACAGTTTGTAAACTTTTTTGGTGCACTGTCACTGTCAGAAGTGGTAAAATAATGTGCCATTTTAGCAGCGAATTCCATAGACCACATTGAAAACATATTTCCTCGTTAAAAACCCACTAATACTTCTCGGCATCGAAAGATACTTTGTAAGACAATTTATCCCTTTATTAATAGATCTTGTAAACGTAAACTCTATTGAAAAGGTACATAAATGTCTTGAATGCACTGTACCATAGTAATGATAAGTCATTTTATATCTCAGTTTGATATGGTTTGTAAAAGGGATTTACTCTCCGTACATAATGTTGCACTAGACAGTGCCACACAGGAAGTTATTACCTCATCCCAGTCATCTAAATCCCCATATAGTAAGTGAAACGTGCCGAAAACAAACTTTGTGAAACTCAAAACCTTTTTAGACTGAATGCTTTATCTCGTTTCAGGTTTCGCTGCGTTTATTTTGGTGGTGTTGATGACAATACAGGTATTAGCATTTAACGTATTTAGTGCCAAAGTCAACTTCTGGCCCCATCTACAAAATACTAGTAGTTTATTTATAGTCTGCTTTTTTCCCTGCACAAATTGTTGTAAAAATTTGAAATTTTCTGATCAAAACTTGGAAATAATGGTACATTTTGATGTTAGCTCCAAATTAAAGATTGATTCAGTGAAAATTTCAGGAAAATGTGAACAAACTTACCCCAATTTGAGCGGGAAAAATTTGGCACTTGAATGGTTAAGGGCTATCTTACAACCAAAATAGTCACAATATTGGATTAAATAATGTGCATAAGTATGTCATCTTCTATAATATTTGTTCCAAGATTGACAGAAATGAGCAAACATGGTCAATGCAGAAATGGCTTTGAATGTAAGCAGAGACAGTAACCGAATTTCGTCCAAGTTTTCATACTTCAGCCAAGATAAACACATTGCATGTTCTACAAAGCATTGTTTTCATGCTCTTGATGAAAGACGCATATATTTACCTATTTCTATGTAAAATTGCATTGAATGCTAAGCCATCTCTCCAGCTACGACTGAAATCTTTAATATTTACACCAGGGTAGCCATCTGTAGTCCTCCGACTCCATAGCAACAAGGCTTCTTTAACATTCCTGTCATCTGGCTGACCAGTTACAATGATGTCGGATATCTGTAAATAAACAAATAAACAAAACTGTAAACAACATTTTTCATTTTATATTAATATTGAATAAATATATAGTAAATTCAGCCATATAAGAAAAAATGGAGGGGGGTAGGGCAAAATGGCAAAATGGGGGGGGGGGTCTAAATAAAAACATTGTACACACCAATAAATGCCACAAACATCAAATTTGTTGTTGCCATGACACTCACACTGATGTACCGGAGGGGGAGGGAGTATTACTTGTTTTTTGAACAGAACTGTCAAAATATCATAATGTCCATCATTTTTATAGTTTGCTTTTCAGCATAAAACTAAATTTATGTCATTTTTCGAAAGTTACAGATTCAGTATTTATATTTGGTATTCATTGTCCAAGGCCTAATAACGCAGACTGATGTCGTTCAGAGTTGATGAACTATATTCAAATTTGAATGATGATGTCATTAAAAATTGCTTTCAGATGCCCAACTGAGAAATGTATGATAACAAAAATAAGAAAGTACAGTACAGATATATATCATTTCAAAATGTCAAAGTTGAATGAACTACATGAAATCTTATCGTCGTTTAATTAATCTCAATTCATCATCCCAAAATGGTAAAACCATTCTATCTGCATCACGAAAAATATTTCATACATTAAGTCATTCACGTGGACGAACATTTGCGAAGTCACTGCGTCAAAATTCTTTAAGTTTCTCACTGCTGTTCCTAATAAAATCACTGTTTTATGTTTCTAAACCCAGATATAAACAGATTTCTATTATAATTATGACAATAAAATATAAAGATTATATTCTTCTAAAAACTATTGCTCATGTGAATATCAATCCAGGTGTTAATATATACTGGTAATCATAAAGAATTTGTTTGGACTTTTAACATTGTATCTTTAATGTTATTTTTTTTTTTTCATGATTGGCTTAAACTGTATTCATGTTTTCGGTATTAAAGTTATGGGTACTATTTGTTTGGACTTTGACATTGTATCTTTAATGTTATTTTTTTTTTTTCATGATTGGCTTGAACTGTATTCATGTTTTCGGTATTAAAGTTATGGGTACTACTGTGGAATAATTTATTTTCGCTGGAATTAATTTTCGCTGAAAAGGCTTTTTGGGCGTTTTGTATGGAATTTATTTTCACTGATTTTTGATGAGTTTAATGTGAAATATAGGGAAAAAAAGTATATTCGCTAGATTTTATTTTCACGGAATCATCCCTATAGCGAAAATAGCAAAAATAAATTCCAAGCGAAAATAAAGTATTCTACAGTATATTCGTTTCCATAGTAGATTACAGGTGTTTCCATGGTAATATTTTATTTGCATCAGATGCAATATACAACAAATGTGACTTTCGGATTATATGTGCTTGTATTGGAGATGCATTTCTAATAGAGTAAAACATGGTCCACTGAGTCCTGTTAAATCATACATGTTTAAAATGTACTGTGAAATACTTTATTTTAGCTGGAATTAATTTTCGCTGAAAAGACTTTTCATTTATATTTCACTGATTTCTGACAAGTTGAATGTAAAATGTAGGAAAAAAGGAATATTCGCGAGATTTAATTTTCACTGAATCATTCCTTCAGCAAAAATAGCGAAAATTAAATTCCAAGCATAAATAAAGTACTTAACATGCAATTCCTATGTTTGTAGGTCTTACTGAATACTGATCTACTTAATAATTAAAACACCATATAGTGCATAATGCATACATACTGTTATTTAATTTAAATTTACATATATACTTTCTGGTTTTTCTAAAACACAAGTGAGCACTGATTTTATTGTATTTCGATGTCTACTTTGGAAAGAACAAACTATATTCATACTCGTTTCCATGTCATAATGCTAGGTAATATAAAACAGTACCCCAGGGCTCTATAACAAAATTTACTACTGGATTATCATATCATGATAATGACCCATGATATTATTATGAAATCATGATTTCCGTCAGCCATCGAAAAAAAACAGGATTTTCCATGGATAAATTTTTTTTTTTTTTTTGCGTCTTTTCCCTTTATCACTATCCCAAGGATATAAGCATGTTCCCAATGATCAACTCACAAACTACATTACACAATTGGATTATATTAAAATTGGAGTGGTTAAGGGTCAAAGCATTGATGTATTGGAGAAATATGCCCGGTATAACATTCAGTGGAGAAAGCACTACACCCAAGCATGCATAATATCAAGGTCAGAGTCATTATCATAATGGTGGTAGACATTAAACAGGAATTTTCAAAAGGAGCATTAATTTCATTTTGAAAATAAGCAATACTATTGGACAGGAAAAATCTTACTGGTTTATACTACATGTACATTTTTATATCTATATACATATGAGAAATTCCGAATACATCGATATTTTTAATTTTCAAAATAGTTTCATAACTCTCAAGAATTATTGATAAAAAATCTGTAAAAAAAAATATTTTCCTGAGCAGGTTTAACATTTATATGTAATGGCTGGTGAGATTTCTAAAATCATTGATATTATGGAATACCGGTAAAATGTTTAAATGTTGTGGGAAATAAATGTTTGTAAATTTTGGATCAAGCGAGTCATATTGGCTTTCACTGGGGTCCTAGTGAGTCACAGAGACTTTCACTGGGGTTCTTGAAGGGTAATGAAAATTTTCACAGGGGTCCTAGGGAGTCTTTGGGACTTTAACTGGGGTCCTAGGGAGTCATGGGGACTTTCACTGGGGTTCTTGAAGGGTCACGAAAATTTTCACAGGGGTCCTAGGGAGTCTTTGGGACTTTCTTAAAATGTCATAGTCAGAAATGCTCTCAAATTATTATGAAATCAGGAAAATTGATTATATAATAATAAATGTGTTTTTTTTAGTTCTACATCCCTGTAATGTATTCTTGTAGCAATACACTTTGAAAATAAAAGTGTTTAGGGTAAATTCTAATGAACTATCTTATCTTCCACAGCATATTATTTACAATATTTTATTGCAATCAGTGTAGCACACACTATTGAATTCCAGGATACAGGAGATTAACTGTGTGTATGTTTAAATATTTCCCTAACACATATGTAGATTATGAGTTTACAGAAATATCAAGTGTCTGCCAAGGCTTTGAGAAAAATAATAGAAACATAAAATTTATTGTATTGCTGAACAGAATACATGTATATAATGAATAAATATCACTTCAGGGTTGAAATCTACCCATTGATGTTTGCTGGTTTGTCCCTAAATGAATCATACAGGACAACGAGAGTTACCCCATAATTATTATTGATTGGTCCCTTACATGTACAAGAACCAGTACATGCATCTACTTAGACATGCATAAGATAAGCCATTCCAAACATTAAGTAATATTATAGTATCTGAAGAAATAAATTCACTTCTGTTTTTAGTTTATCCCTAACATTACAGATAACTATAAAACTGCCTTTTCACAAAATTTAAATTTCCGTGGGTCAGGAAAAAGTGTGACTGTTAAGAAGTAAATGCTTTGTAAATGCCAAGTTCTTTTACCTTTTTGAAACTTTTAATCACGCAAAAGCCCTCAAATTAATAATTTTAAGTTCATACAAATGTAGTACTAAAAATGCTATGCTTTACCATTGTAGTCATTCCCACAGGAAGTGAAAAACCACCCAAAACTCCTCCTCTCACCCTCAGGGCTACTTATCAATCCTTGTCCTAATTAAAACACTAGGGTGGTACCCTCCCCCAGCTAATTATCAGCATAAACCCAGACAGGTGGAAAGATTTCTTTGATGAATCAGTTTAAAAAGAACAATTTCCTTTTTAACTGAAATATAGGAACTTTGATTGTGAAAGGAGTATTGCCGTGCTTGTATTATAACTGAAGTTAAAATAAGACATTTCCTGAAATAATGATAATGATCTGAAAGAAAAAGCTTCAATACATGACATATGACAGGCAGATAGATGAAACAATTAAATATCACACAAACTTAAAATTTTAAGATTATATAGTATTTATAAAATTTAATAAAGAAATTTTGAAATACTGGTGAATCAGTTTTTATCAAATTGAAAAACTTCATCTCATTCATTCAAACTTCCAATGCTCAATTTTTCTCACTCAAAGTTCTGACTTAACTTTTTCCTGATTTTTTTTAATTTTCACTGATTTTAATAATAATTTTTGACGAAAACAGATGAAATTCAAAACTTCTTCAGACAGCTAAACTATTGAAATTATTGTTATTTCATACGACAGAAACTGATTCATACATAGCAACAAAAAGCGAATTTTATAACTATAAATTTATGGAAATCATTTTTGCTAAAGAATTCTACTGAATAACCTACAAAGCATTGACCTGACTGACTGGCCAACGCACTGAGATGACAAACTGAAAACAGCACTAATCATCACCAAAATCGCAAAAAAAATCGCACAGAACACATACACAGTATGACCTCAATATTTGACCCCTAACACATTACAAGCATCTCCTTAAATTCAGTTTTTACACCATGTAATATTAATAAGTCTAGATATAACAGGAATGCGGAAATACTTCAAAATACAGGAAATAAACTTTGCAGTTTCCGACAAGACAGTGCAATCATAAGTTGCCTGACCATTATAATGAAATACTGATCTTATAGTAATAATAACACGATTAGAATACATATAACGATGGCAACTTTCAAAATTTATTCAGTACCATTCACCATAATCGTACTTTAATGACCAATTTTTTTTTAGGATTTTAATTTCTGGTTTACCGGTACATGATAAGCATATAAAACAGTTTTGGTCAATATTTTTACTACTGTTCATATGCATTTTTGTTTTTATTTATTGTTTATAAATTTTTTCTACCATTTTTAACCTACTGAAAAATTTTCATAATATTTCCTGCCAGAATTTCTATATCATATTTTAATGCTTTTTTCTGTCATTTCTTTGGGTTTTTTTTCAGACTAGACAGAAACAATCTTCCATAACTTACAGGTCAGGATCAAAAGTTTTTGAAGAAAGAAC